CATGATCTGGTATATGGGATGCACTGAGAATGACCCGATATCAGCGATGTAGAAATCCTGTCCAAAATGAACAGCATTAAGATAAACAATATATGCAGTGTTGTATTTGTTTTAAATGTCACAATGGTTTTGCGGCTCCCAGCTTTTTTTTTTTCCTTCGGAAATGGGTCCAAGTAGCTCTTTATGACTTAAAGGTTGCAGACCCTTGGCCTAGACTGTTTGGTAGCAGGCGAAAATCGAGGGCACCTTTCTCTCAGAGGCGCTTGCAAGGAGTACTGAAGGACCCTGAGACTCAGGAGCCACATAGGGTGGGGCTGACAGAAGCCACCCTGAAACCCCACCCCATCAGGGAAGCTGTGAAAATGCCGAGACAAAATAGATCACAAACGAAAGAAATGGAGGACAAAAAGTGACTGGATATAGAGTTCAAATCTATGCTTATAAGGTTTTTCAAGAATTTCCTAGAAAAAATCAATAAGACCTATGAGGATATGAAAAGAGATCAACTAGAATTAATAAGGAATCAACAAGAAATGATAAGGAATCAACAAGAAATAAAGAATACATTGTCTGAAATAAAAAATATTATACAGAGTCCTAAAAACAGAATGGAAGATCGCAAGAATCAAGTCAAAAGTTTGGAACATAAAGAGCCAGAAGACACTCCTCCACAGAAGCAAGAAGGCAAGAGAATCCAGAAAATTGAAGATAATGTAGGAAACCTCTGGGACAACTTCAAGCGAACCAACATCAGAATTATGGGGGTCCCAGAAGATGAGAGAGAGCAAGATATCAAAAACATACTGAAAGAAATAGTGACAGAAAACTTCCCCCACCTGGTGAAAGAATTAGACTTACAAGTCCAGGAAGTGCACAGAACTCCAAACAAAAGGAATCCAAAGGGGACTACACCAAGACAAATCATAATTAAAATTCCAAGAGCAAAAGACAAAGAGAGAATATTAAAAGCAGCAAGAGCAAAGCAGGTAGTTACGTATAAAGGAGCACCTATACGATTGTCAGCTGATTTCTCAACAGAAACCATGCAGGCCAGATGGGAATGGCAAGAAATATTCAAGGTGATGAATAGTAAGAACCTACAGCCAAAGATAATCTATCCAGCAAAGCTATCACTCAGAAGGTCAGATAAAGAGCTTCACTAATAAAAAAAAAAAAAAAAGCTAAAGGAGTTCATCACCACCAAACCAGAATTATATGAATTGCTGAAGGGGGTTCTTTCAGAAGAGAAAGTAAATAAAGATAAAAAATATGAACAACAAATATGTAACTATCAACAAGTGAATCTAAAAACCAAGGAAATTTTTTAAAAAATCTGATGAACAATGTTAACTGTTGAATATAATAGAATCAGAGGTATGGAAGGAGAGTGAACTGATGATTCTTGGGGAAAAGGGGAGAGGGGGATGTGGGAAGAGACTGAACATAAACTGTGCACCTATGGATGAGGACAATGGGGGTGGGGAAAGGGCAGAGGGTGGGGTGGGAACTGGTGGAGGAGAGCAATGGAGGGGGATGAGGGAAGGAACATTTGTAATAATATGAACAATAAAAATTTATTTAAAAAAAATAATAAAATAAAAAATAAAATAAGACATGACATCTAAATGCAAAGTGTAATCCTGGATGGAAAAAAAAAACAAATTGCCATAAAGGATATTACTGGATAATTGGTTACATAATAAAATGGCATTGTGAAATCTCAAAAAAAAAAAAAAAAAAAAAAAAGAAAGAAAGAAAGAAAGAAAAGGGACCAAACTCTCATAACGATCACATGACACACACACCACCCCCTCCCCCACCCAGTTAAATTAACAGGTGACTTGTAAATTCAAAAGGGACTAAGTAGTAAATCTGAGAAGCTCACCTAACTGGGCATGTCGCAGTGCATAGTCACACTCCAGGCCTATATCTTCCTTAGTAAATGGATTATCTTTGCCCTAAGCAAGTCCTGTACAATATTCTTTTTTAAAAATATATTTTATTGACTTTTTACAGAGAGGAAAGGGGAGGAATAGAGAGTTAGAAACATCGATGAGAGAGAAACAGATGAGAGAGAAACATCGATCAGCTGCCTCCTGCATACACCCACACTGGGAACATGCCTGCAACCAAGGCACATGCCCTTGACTGAAATCGAACCTGGGATCCCTGAGTATGCAAGCTGATGCTCTATTCACTAAGCCAAACCGGCCAGGGCTAGTCTCTTCTTAAGATAACAAAAATGTTCAAAAATTGTGATGATTGCCGGGACTGGTTTGGCTCAATGGATAGAGCGTCGGCTTGGGGACTGAAAGGTCCTGGGTTCGATTCCTGTCAAGGGCATGTACCCCGGTTGCGGGCATATCCGTAGTAGGGGGTGTGCAAGAAGCAGCTGATCGATGACTCTCTCATCGACGTTTCTGACTCTCTATCTCTCTCTCTTCCTCTCTGTACAAAATCAATAAAATATATTTTTTTTAAATTGTGATGATTGCACGTTATCTGTGAATATACTAAAGAAACAAACAAATAAAAACAACCCTGTTAAATTATATACATTAAAAGGATGCATTCTTTGGAAGGTTTATGTATATTAATTAAGCTATTTAAATAAATTGATATTTTAACTAATGTGCTAATTAAGTATATTGACATCCCACATTTCCAAATCTTTTTTGTTGTTGTTATATTGTGAAAATAGGAATTCATTTGCATTAGGGATATTATGACCATTTTATATTTCAACATTTCTAAGGACACAGTCAAAAACTAAGGTACATTTCCTTTTGGTGTAAAATGTACAGCTTATGGTTGATGGGAAAGAATTGCTGCCACCAAAACCGGCTACTTGGGAGGTCCCAGACAATAAAGCGCCACAGGCGTGGAGGTGGAGGAGGGATGGATGGAGGTCTCAGCCTGCCAACATCCAAAGATCAAATGGACAGGCCTGGGGGAGCAGGCGGGGCTGGTGCGGCCAGGCCCGGAGCAGCGGCTGCCAGGCTGGGAGCGGCCAGGCCCGGGGGAGCAGGCGGGTCGGGTGCGGCCAGGCCCGGACCAGCGGCTGCCAGGCTGGGAGCGGCCAGGCCCGGGGGAGCAGCCGGGTCGGGTGCGGCCAGGCCCGGAGCAGCGGCTGCCAGGCTGGGAGCGGCCAGGCCCGGGGGAGCAGCCGGGTCGGGTGCGGCCAGGCCCGGAGCAGCGGCTGCCAGGCTGGGAGCGGCCAGGCCCGGGGGAGCAGCCGGGTCGGGTGCGGCCAGGCCCGGAGCAGCGGCTGCCAGGCTGGGAGCGGCCAGGCCCGGGGGAGCAGGCGGGTCGGGTGCGGCCAGGCCCGGAGCAGCGGCTGCCAGGCTGGGAGCGGCCAGGCCCGGGGGAGCAGCCGGGTCGGGTACGGCCAGGCCCGGAGCAGCGGCGGCCAGGCTGGGAGCGGCCAGGCCCGGAGCAGCAGCAGCCAAGTCCAGAGCAACTAGGTTGGGAGCGGCAGTGACCAGACCCGGAGCAGCTGGTTGTGGAATGAACCAGAGCAACAGAGGCCAGGCCCTGAGCAGCCAGGCCCAGAACAGCTCGCTCCTTGCCTGCCCCTGCCCCACGGCTGCTTCTCAGACATGGCTGGAAACTTTCGTGGGAACTTGAGGGTCTGCTGAATCAAGTGATGAAGGCTTAGATCTGGATGTGTTGAGTTAGTTTAGGACTGGGGTGTTGATCTGTGAGTGCCTTGGGTGGGGCCTGGATGAGGCTGGTTGACCTAGTGGGAAATGTCTTTTGTGTGAAGTGTATCATTGGGCATGGGGAGGTATTATTGATATGAGAAAATGCTAAGTAACTGATTTACTATCTGAAAAGGGATTTACTATTGGGGAAATTGAGGGAAGAAGAGACTGAACATAAACTGCACCTATGGATGAGGACAATGGGGGATGGGGGGGGGACGGAGGGTGGGGGGGGGAACCTGGTGGAGGGGGGAAGAAATGAGGAACCTTTGTAATAATATGAACAATAAAGATTGCTTAAAAAAAAAAAAAAAAAAAAAAAAAACAAAGATCAAATGGAGCCAGACTATTTGTTACGTTAAATGGGTTTATAAACAAGGATCACAGTTCCGTGAGTGGCCTTGTTGCAGCCTATGTCAACCCTTAACCCAAGGAGGATCTCAACCCCTTGGTCCCAGTCTAACCTGGACACCCCTCTTGCTCAGGACAAGGGTGTCGCTCCATCTGGAAACTGGGTGTGGAATTCCCTTCGCACACCTGTGTCCCCACATCCAGAAAGAGGGGCAAAGGGTGTTAAAAATATAAACGGCCTTAGCGGGTTTGGTTCAGTGGATAGAGCACCAGCCTGCAGACCGAAGGGTCCCGGGTTCCATTCGGGTCAGAGGCATATGGCTTCGTTGCAGGTTCCTCCCCGACCTGGTCCCTGTTCAGGGCTCCTGCAAAAGGCAACCAATCGGCCAAAGCTGGTTTGGCTCAGTGGGTAGAGCGTCAGTCTGCGGACTGAGGGGTCCCAGGTTCGATTCCAGTCAAGGGCATGTGCCTTGGTTGTGGGCACATCCCCAGTCAGGGGTGTGCAGGAGGAAGCTGATGGATGTTTCTGACTCTCTATGTCTCTCCCTTCCTCTCTGTAAAAAAAAAATCAATAAGATATATATATATTTTTAAAAAGAGACAGCCAATCGATGTGTTTTTCTCACATCGATTTTTCCCTCTGTCTTTCCCTCTTTCTGAAAAAATCAATGGAAAACAGGATTAAAACAAAATAGAGGACTAAACAGCTTTGGAAGGGACATGCCCCGCCCACCCACGAAAGCTGCTCCTGCGGAGCGCTGGGACCTGTCCCGCCCGCCCCTCTGCGCTGTCACTCAGGAATGGAAGGCAGAGCTGTCCAATCAGGGGAGGTGGGCGGGGCCGCGCTCTGCAATAGCGGAGGTTCTTCCGGCGTCGGCGCGCTCCTGGCCGCTAGGCGTCACGTCAGTGTTCTCAGTGGCGTCCGGCCCTCGGAGCCGCGGGGACATGGTGAGTGTGCGTGGGTGTCCTCAGAGGGCGCTGGGCGGACCCGACTGTGGGAGACCTGGCCCCACGCCGGCGGTGAGGAGTCTGAGGCGGCTCTGCTGGGTCTCCGAACCCGCCGGCGCCCCGCCCCCTCCGGAGAGTCTCCCCGTCCCCGCCGGCGCCCCGTCCCATCGGGCGCTCCCCGTCCCTCCGGCGCCCGGTCCCTCCGGAGAGGCTCTCGGTCCCCTCCGGCTCGTTGGGCTAGGCGGGCGGCCTGGGCCCGTGTGCCCTCGCGGGGCGTTGGGACTTGGCTCCCGGAGCCACTCCTGCAGCTCTGCACCCACAGCCCCGCGTCCCCTCCGATGGTGCGGGGGCCACGGTGAGTTCCCGGGGGCCACGGTGACTCGGCCTCCCGGGGTTCGTGCGGCCTCCCGGGGTTCGTGCGTGGGAGGAGCTGTGGTCTGTGGTCCCGGTCTCTTCTCCTCGGAGAGACCTGGAGTTTTTGAAATGTTCGGGGGAGCGGGGTCTCAAACCCAGGACCCTTCCCCTCCGGCCCGGCTGCTCCCGGGACTGGCCATGAACCCACACATTTTCCTGCTTCTGCCTGCATTCTCAAGCGCCACCTTCTGGTCTCCGATTCATGCATCAGTTGATTCTCTTCCAGCGTGCATTTCTAACCGGTATATATTGATTTTATCATTTTTTCTACATTCAATGGATGACTCTCTTGAAAGATTTATTCGTTATTTTGTTGTTGCCCTGCCCGAGTAGCTCAGTTAATTGGCTTCAGCGTTGTGGGTTCGATCCCAGGTTAGGGCACACACAAGAAGCAACCAATGAATGCATAATAAGTGGAAAACAAATCTCTCTCCCTCCCTCCCTCTCTCTCTAAAAACCAATTTTAAAAAGAAGTATTTTTTGTGTGTAGTTTTTACACACGAGAGGAAAGCTGAGGATCACCACCTGGAATGCGTGTATGAAACCCCTGCCCCCTCTCTCAGGGCTCTCCCTGGGCACAGACATCCTAGGGAAGTCCGTGGGTGGAGATCCTCTTTGGATACTTTTCTGGGTGTTCTGTCCTGTCCCCTTCCCCGGGATTGTCACCTTACAAAGACTTCTTTACTTTGTTTTTGGTGTTCATTTGTCAATGCATCAATAGACCTTGAAAGGTGACATAAAATAGTTATTTCCAAAGAGGCACGAGAGTTCAATTTGAGGGAAAAAAGATTCCAATGTTAGTTACATCGAATGGGTTTGAACTTCGCGTTTCTCATTTTCCTCCCCTGAGCAGTGTCTGTAAATTTCTGTACTATTCTGAAGTGCCTTCATTCTTTTTTTTTTTTTTTACTTTTTTTTTTTTTTTTTTTAGGAGGGAGGGTGCTCAAATGGAATTCGAGGGGTTAGACTTGAACATCAGAAGTGTTTAAGTATGTTTAACTAAGAAAGTTTGTCTTGCAATAGAAATAAATCATTTTCTGAAAGGCATAAATACTTGTGGTTTTTCTTTTTCTTTTTCTCCCTGCAACACATCACCTGTCCACTGTATTGTGTGTTAACCACCCCAAGTCAAGTCTTTGCCCATAATCATTTATCCCCCCTATATCCTGTGCCGATCCCTCCCCCTGGCAGTACTAGTGTTGTCCCTGTTCGTAAGTTTTCTTTTCTTTTCTGCTCAATCCCTTCATATACCTCCTGGAATGCGTGTATGAAATCCTTGCTCCCTCCCCCCCAGTGGTTTTTCTTGTTGGACTAAAAATATGGCTTACAGTTACATCCTGTGCCGATCCCTCCCCCTGGCAGTACTAGTGTTGTCCCTGTTCGTAAGTTTTCTTTTCTTTTCTGCTCAATCCCTTCATATACCTCCTGGAATGCGTGTATGAAATCCTTGCCCCCTCCCCCCCAGTGGTTTTTCTTGTTGGACTAAAAATATGGCTTACAGTTTTCTTCTTTATTTACCCATAAACATGGGGGTTGTATGAATTTGCAATATTCTTCAAACAGTGGGCTTTATAGCATTTGAAATATCCACGTGGTCCAAAGCCATGTGGCTGAGAGCAGAGGCCTGTGGTCAGTGACCCAAACAAGCCAGGGGCCCCTTGAGCACTGGAAGTCCTTGAAGGCCCAGATGTTGTTCCTGGTCCTGGGGGACCTCCCACCCTATGGCTTCCTGCCACACCACCAAGGAAAGCTTGTACGTGAGAGGCTGCAGCCCGGGAATGCTGGGGTGGGGTGGGGGCGGCGGAAGGGAACAGTCCTGGGGTTTTAGTGGTTCTCCGGGCCTGTTTTTAGGCCTCGGGTGGAGTTTGCATACACCGTGAGAGTGCACTTAGAGTGGAATTGGTGCAAGTCTCTGAAAGTCCGGAGTCGGTGTCTTGGGTTAGGGTTGTGGTCTTAGGAGTTCATTTGGGTCAGAACCTGACGCTGACTCCAGCTGAGGGAGCCCGAGAGGGAGAATTTCTACTACTTCCCGGGGAGAGGAGGGTGTGGGAGCCCCCAGACTTCACTCCTGGGGCTGCTCAGGCGTCCCTCCCTCCTCCTCCAGGGACTGGCCCACCCGGGGGCTCTGTCTCAACCGGGAGAGTCTAGGATGTGGAACCTTCTGGAAGTGGCTCTCCTGTCCTGTGGGAAGCAGGCTGCTCATCTGAGCTGATTCCAATACTGTGTTTCTTTCCTTTGGATCCTTTTTTAAAAAAAATTTTTTTTATTGATTTTTTTTTACAGAGAGGGACAGAGAGTTAGAAACATCGATGAGAGAGTCATCCATCAGCTGCCTCTTGCACACCCCTTCTGGGGATGTGCCCGCAACCAAGGTACATGCCCGTGACCAGAATCGAACCCAGGACCTTTCAGTCCATAGGCTGATGCTCTATCCACTGAGCTAAACCGGTTTTGGCTCCTTTGGCTCCTTTATCCACTGACTAGTGCAGGCCTTTGGCTCTAGTTTCCCTGAGTGTAGGGGACAATGCTCCAACCAACTAAGCCACACTGGCGAGCATGTAAGTCATTATTTTCCCACCTTCATTGAATGCCTCATGTTAAAGATGAGTTCTTACCCATGTTACTTTATGTGAGGGGAACGTTGTGAATAACCACGTGGCATATGCTCTGTGAACCCCCCGTTCCTCTCCCCGCAGGATCTTTCCTGGGCACCGATGTCCTACGGGCATTCGTTTGGGTGGAGGTTTTTTTTTTGAAACTTTCCTCGATGATCTGTCCTGTCGTACTGCCCCTCTGTAATTCTGTCCCAGCCAAGAGACCAACAGAAGAGGCTGACAACGCCAGCATCACATCAAGAGTTTATGAAGGGAGCCGAAACCGGTTTGGCTCAATGGATAGAGCATCAGCTTGGGGACTGAAAGGTCCCTGGTTCAATTCCGGTCAAGGGCATGTATGTTGGTTGCGGGCATATCCCCAGTAGGGGGTGTGCAAGAGGCAGCTGATCGAAGACTCTCATTGATGTTTCTAACTCTCTATCTCTCTCCCTTCCTCTCTGTACAAAATCAATAATATATATATATATATTTTTAAAAAGAGTTTATGAAGGGAAACTGCCTCCAGGGGGACCGTGTGGGTGCAGGCAAGTCCATGCGGATATCCTGCCATGGCCAGCGTTACATAGAACAGGGCAGGAAGGATTGGTGTACCAGTGCTTGCTCACCCGGATTAGAGAAAAACACCTTAAATACTTGCCCTGGGGCAAGCGACAGCCTGTTCCTGGAAGCAGCTCCCTGTGGGACACAGGCAGGGAGTCTATCCCTGTCTCAGGGACTTAGGACGTCAGTCTCTAACCTGCCTAGATCTAACTTGTGTACAGTTTCCTCCACAACCTCCCTGGGTTTGTCCCCTTGAAACTATTTAGTCATTTTTCTTCATTACCCATTTTTCAACAAATGTAAAATGTACTTAATCTAACCTTGAGCCCTAGCTGGTTTGGCTCAGTGGGTAGAGCGAAGGCCTACAGACTGAAGGGTCCCGGAGTTTGATTCGGCCAAGGGCACATGCCTGGTTTGTGGGCTCGATCCCCAGTGTGGAGGTGTATAAGAGGCAGCCGATCATAGATTCTCTCTCATCATTGATATTTCTATCTCTGTATCCCTCTCCCTTTCTCTCTGAAATTAATAAAAATAAATTTAAAAATAAAAATAAAATTGATAGTTATAGTTAACAAAACTGCTACTTTGCTTGCCAATCTGCAAAAACCTTTAGATTCTCTATCTAAAGTTGTCATAGAAATTAAAATTGCCATCCAGCCAGGGCTATTATTTTTTTATTTGTCAAAGCTTCCCACATACTTTAAACATATCAAATAGGTAGGCCTAATTAGTTTAAACTGTCTCTTTAGAAAGGAGAGAGAACAAATCCTTGAGATATTCCAGGAGCCCATTGCAATGACTCAAAGCCAATTCTAAGTCTAGAAAAACTCTTAAAATTTAAAACCCGGGCCCTAGCTGGTTTGGCTCAGTGGAAAAAGCATCAGACAGAAGTGTTCTGTGTTCGATTCTACTGAAGGCACATGCCCAGGTTGTGGGCTCGATCCCTAGTAAGGGACATGCTGGAGGTAGCTGATCAATGATTGTCTCCCATTATTGATGTTTCTAACTCTCTCTCTTCCCCTCTCTTTTCCTATCAAATCAATAAAAATATATATTTTTAAAAAATTTAAGACCCTGAAAGGTTATCAAATATACTTGGCCAAAAGATCATATGAAACCAATTATTTACCCAAGTATCTAACAACAATAGGAATCAAATGCAAACACAGGCTAGCAAAACTTGACTTCTTAGGATTAAAGAGAGAGGTTTTTTAAGAAATTAAGTACCTGATTAACACAATATGACATATGATTATTTTAATGATATGTAGAATCTTTGCTCTCTAGGCAAAGATAGGAAAAACTTTTTTCTCTTTTAACAGACTGAAAAACAAAACAAAACAAATTCTATATTAGCTTAATTTTGATAGATTCATTTATCTAATTAAATTCATTATTCAGCTTACCTATATATTTCCCTCCAGATCTTTCTTTACCAACCTTCTTATCCATTCAGAAATAACCAGCTGTAGAGCAGTGGAATGCAGATCAAGTGAGGTTAAGTAAATGCATGCACTGGACCTTTAAGAGGAATACTTGGGACTCCAGCAGCCCTTGTCTCACTCAGCCTCCATCCCCACTGGCTTTCACAGTCAGATGTTATGGGAACTTCTCTTCCCAGCACTGGGAGCTCTTGCTCCTGGGGGTGGGGAGGTGTGGGGGATGGGAGGCTTCTGCAGCTGAGATAGCCCTCCTAATTTTTAACCACCACACATGGGTAAGGGAACAGCTCATTGCGCATTTCCATCCCTTATCAGTCTCAATGTGACTTCTTTTTTATATTCTTAGTTATAGGAAAATTTTGTTCAGTCAAATTTTAGGTGGTTCTCAATGATGGCTGTTCTATAGTATAATTATAATTTTGATGTGCTTGTGGGAGGATGCAAGTACAGCATTTACCTATTTCACCATCTTGACTGAAAGCCCACTGGGTGAAAGCCTTAAAATTAAAATATTTGTTTTATTTGAATAGCATTTGTCATTTCTCATCATGCTCTGACCCCTTCCTTTAGAGTAAAATAAGATGTAATGTTATCACTATAAAGAAGTATTAATTTTCATGTGTTTATGATAAGGTTCAATTTATAAGGAAATAAATGTGAACAAAGAATGTTTTGATGATGAAGTCATAGACTAAATATATGGAGACAACAGAATTATATGTAACCTTCCTGTTAATAAAGTCTGGGTGTCCAGTGCTATCAGTCTCATGTACTGTGCACATATCTGTACTGTTTTAGGACTCGATAGCCTTTGAGGATGTGGCTGTGAACTTCACTCCGGAGGAGTGGGCTTTATTGGATTCTTCACAGAAGAAACTCTACAGAGATGTGATGTGGGAAACCTTCAGGAACCTGGTCTCCATAGGTATGGATGACAACTTTCTTACCTTGTTAATTAAGAGGACAAGTGTTTCTGGCCCATCAAAGTTATTCTAATGTATATAAGAGGGTAAGAGAGGACACTGATAAGTAAACTGGGCCTGGTCACAGCTCATCATAGAAACAGAATCTAATGATGCTTCTATAATTTCTATTACTTTTGGGATAAATTTTCTGGGTCTGTATTTTAGGAAAGAAATGGAAAGACCATGGCATTGAAGATCTGTACAGAAACCAGAGGATAAAACAAAGGTGAGTCACACTCAATGGAAAACACTGTCTTACATGAGAAACCTATTATGCTATGAAATTTTAAAAAGAAACAAACAAAATCCTCCTTCAAATTTGACTTTGAAAAAATTTCCACCAAATTACTTTTTTTTTTTAATACATTTAATTGATTTTTTTACAGAGAGGAAGGGAGAACGATAAAAAGCTAGAAACATCGACCAGCTGCCTCCTGCACACCCCCTACCGGGGATGTGCCCACAACCAATGTACATGCTCTTGACCGGAATCGAACCTAGGACCTTTCGGTCCGCAGATCGATGCTCTATCTATTGAGCCAAATTGGTTTCGACCCAAATTACTTTTTTATATATGAAAAAAGCATTCAGTATTTGAAACTAGTTCAAATGAAAAACAGCGTTGATAAACCCTGAATATGAATATCACTGTTGGATAACAGCAAGGCTGAAGAACTCTTGCACAGGATCCAGTTTATTCAACTTCAAGCCATTTAGACAGGGCAGAGACCTACTTTTTTTGCTATAAATCGTAGAAATGTAGCTCAAATATTCTAATAAAGGTAAAATCATAAGTAAATCATGAAGAAGATGCGTTTTGTTTTTTCCAGAAGTCCTGTGGTAGAGAGAATCTATGATGAGAAAGCGGGTCAGCAGTCTAAAGACAGCTTCATCTCTATTCCAGATCTCAATCTGAATGAGAAATCTCTTGGAGTGAAACCATGTAAATACAGTGTGTGTGGGAAAGCCTTCCTAGAACTTTCGTCTCACAATGGGAACGTCAGATGTCTCACTGAAAACAAGCCACATCACTGTCAGGAATATGGAGAGAAGCCATATAAAGGTTATCTCCAGTGTGTTAAAAAACATGAAAGGAATCATAATGGAGAGGAACCTTATGAATATAATATATGTGCTGAAGCCTTCAGTCCCAGCCATGTTCAAGTAGATGAAAAAACTCATACTGGGGAAAAACTTTTTAAATATAAGGAAGGTGGGATAGCATTTAGTGATCTCTCAATCCTTCCAGCACACGTGACCACTCACACTGGAGGTGAACTTTATAAATGTAAGAAAAATAAGAAAGCATCCATTTCTCCCAGTTTATACCAAAGGCCTGGAAGGAGTCAGACTGGAGAGAAACCCTATGAATGTAAACAATGTGGTAAAGCCTACAGACATCGCACTTCCTTCGAAACACACGAAAGAAGTCACTCTGGAGAGAAACCCTATGAATGTAAAACGTGCAGGAAAGCATTCACTTGTCTCAGTTACCTTCGAAAACACAGAAAGAGGCACACAGGAGAGAAACCCTATGAATGTAAGCAATGTGGCATAGCCTTCAAATATTACAGTTCCTTTCAGTCTCACAAGACGAGTCACACAGGAGAGAAACGCTACATATGTATGGGATGTGGTAAAGCTTACAGTGGTCCCACTGCCTTAAAAACACACCAAAGAATTCACACAGAAGAGAAACCCTATATATGTAAGGACTGCGGATCAGCCTTTAGACATTCCAGTTCTTTACAAGTACATGGAAGGTCTCACACTGGAGAGAAGCCCTATGAATGTAAAACATGTGGAAAAGAGTTTCGTTGTCTTAATAATCTTCGAACACATAAAAGAGTTCACACGGGAGAGAAACCCTATGAATGTAAGCAATGTGGTAAATGTTACAGCGATTACACTTCCTTCAAAACACACGAAAGAAGTCACACGGGAGAAAAGCCCTACGAGTGTACAATATGTAGGAAAGCATTCGGCAGTCCCAATTATCTTAGAAAACATAGAAAGAGATCACACCGAAGAGAAACCTTAGGAATATGGATGATATAGTAAAGCCAGATATTACACTACCTTAGAATCACATGAATGGCTTTACATAGCAGAGAAACACCATGAATGTAAGCAATGTGATAAAGGTTATAAAACCACACTTCCTTAAAAGCACAAAAGAAGTCACATTGGAGAGGAGCCCTATGAATGTAAAACATGAAAAGAGGTCACTTGTCTTAATTATCTGTTTTTTGTTTGTTTAATTTATTAAGGTATTACATGTGTCCTCATTTCCCCATTCATGCCCTTACTCCCCTGTTGTCTCTGTCCATTGGTTAGGCTTATCTGCATGCACACAAGTCCTTTGGTTGATTTCTCGCCCTTACCCCCACCCTTCCCTACCTTCCCTTAGGTTTGACATTCTGATCGATGTTTGTCTCTGGATCTGTTTTTGTTCATCAGTTTATGTTGTTCATTATTTTCCATAAAGGAGTATGATTTTGTGATAGTTTTCTCTGCCTGGCCTATTTCACTTAGCATAATGCTCTCCAGCTCCATCCATGTTATTGCAAATGGTAAGAACTTTTTTTTACCGCAGCATAGTATTCCATTGTGTAGATGTACCACCTTAATTATCTTTGAAGACATGAAAGGACTTACACATGAGAGAAACCCTATGTATGTAAGCAATATGATAAATGTTATAGTGATCACACTTTCTTAAAAACACACGAAAGAAGTTACACTAGAGAGACACATGAATGTAAAACGTGGAAGAGTTCAGTTGTCTTAATTGTCTTAAAAAACATGAAAGTATGCACACAGAAAAACCCTATGAATATAAGCCATGTGGCAATGGTTTCAGCAATTTCACCTATTTAAAAACACAAAAGTAGTCACATTGGAGAGAAACTTTATGACTAAAATATGTAGAAAAGTTCAGTTGTCTCAGTTATTTTTGAAAACATGAAAAGACTCATAGGAGAGAAACACCATGAACATAAGCAATGAGTTAAAGCTTTCCATTCCTCTATAAGGTTTTCAAAGACATGAAAGAAATTACACTGGAGAGACTCTAAATGTAAAAAATGTGGGAAAGCTTCCATTTTGTACACAACTACTGAACAGCAGTGAGCATGCACTTTTCTATGCCATCCTGATATTTTTTCCTATGAGCAGCATGGAATCTATGCAAGCCCAATGTTTTCCCCAGTGGAAACACCAAAAAGGAAAGGGGAGTGGGTCTGTGAAGGCTATCATCCAGGTATTAATTTGATTGCATGAAGTGACCTGTAGGGAGAGGCCATCATTTTGATTAATACTCATAATAGTATAAAAGGAGATGTGGACCCAGCTGGTATGGCTTAGTGGTTGAGCATTCACCCATGCAACAAGGTTGCCAGTTTGATTCTTGGTCAGGGCACAGACACAGGTTGTGAGCACGATCCCCAGTGGGGAACATGCAGGAGTCAGCCAATCAACATTGATGTTTCTATCTCTGATGTTTCTATTCCTCTCCCAGTCTCTAAAGATCAATAAATTTTAAATAATAGTTATATAAGGGAATGTGGGAAGTTTTCAGATACACTATATCTGAATGTGGGGAAAACTTATGTCATCCCAATTCCTTCCAATAGCATAAAAGGAATCACTGGATAAAACCTTTGAACATAAACAGTGTGGGAAGGGCGTCAGTGTGCACACATCCTTACATGTGAAAAAATCTCAGGGAAAAGAGAAAACTACATGTGACATGAGAAAGTTTGATAGAAATTAATCCATGTAAAATGTTCCAGACAAATTTCAACATGAAAGAATTGATCTTTTTTTTTTTTCATCTTAAGTTTGTATATACATAGGGTTTATCAAGCTTGTTTTGTAAAATGCATTATTGCAATATAGATTTATAATTTAAAAAGTAAATATTGAGGGTGATATAACTGGGAGTTTTCTTTCAGCAATGGTACATAAAATTACTAGATCATGCTTTTTCCTTGAATGAGTTAATAGTTTCTTTCCATTTTGTAGCCTGTTAGATCTCTGGGTGAACTGAAGTATATTTCTAATGTGCATTTAGGTTAGAATTTTTTATACTGTTTTATTTGTCCTGTGTGAAGGTGCCAGTGTAAAATGACAGTTTGGTGTTTGTTGGGATTTTCCTCTTGGCTTTGTGACAGTTCTGGGTCTCCTTAGTCCACTAATATTGTCTACCGTTTTTTATTGAAGAAGCTCTTTCTTCTGGGGAGACAGGTTTATTATTATTATACATAATAATAAACACTTGGAATAAATTTTATGTATAGCAAGTTCATGAAAGAATATAGTTTCATATAAATTAATATTTTCACTTTTGGATCCTTATTGTTCTTTATTCTGATTGGTTATTTGTGGAATAGACTTTAAGAGACATGAAAAGGAGAGAGACCTGTAGAAGGAAAAAAACTCACAAAACTAGAGTTGGAGAAATCACTCCCCTGTCAGTAATGTTAGGACCTAGATTTTTTTAGAATTCATCTCCTTTGAGGTTCCACTTTAGGATTCACAAGTAGCCCCACTTGCTTGAGTTTGAAAAGGATAACTGAGTAATACACTTGTCAGATTCTGAAACCACCACACAGGGAAGAGACAATTGTATAAGACTTCTGAGTTGATCCTTTGCCCTTCTGATTAAGACTATCCTCATAACCACCATCAGTTATTTGATTTATATATTTTTAGAAGAGATGTTTTCTCAAGGTTCACATCAAAGATCCATCAGTTTGGATTTTTCTGTAAGCCATCGTGTGTTCACCTGGAAACTGATGTCTTTCGTGCTTATGCTTGAATCCCCTCTTCTCTAGACTACATCCGTATAAGATGTAATTTGTATAGGAAATATGCTGTTAATAGTACTAGGGAGAAACCAAGATGGCAGCACAGATAATCACATATACTTGCTGCCTCTCCCAACCACATCAAAACCACAACTAAACGTCAGAACAACTCCCACCCAGAACCGTGGGAAAGCTGGCTGAGAGGAAGTTCCACAACTAGAGAGGTGAAGAAAGCTCACTGAGACTGGTAAGAGGTGCAGATGCACGGAAAGCGCCGGCACCTGGATGTGCTGCTCTTTAAAGTGGGAGGGAGATACAAGCTCCCACTTCCGGGTGAGACTCTGGGGGACCCAGACACATACGGGGAGATAATGGACTGTCTGGCATCGGGGCAGGAATGCGAGGGCGGCTTACTCTCAGAAGTGAGAGATTATTGTTCCTACACAAGGGCACAGAGAACCAGGGATTTCCCCAGTTCAGGGCAGCTATTGCTGTTTGCTCTACCCTTGTGATTCCCAGAGACCCTGCCCCACACAATTTACAACTCTACCCAAACTGTGTGCATAGGCTTTTGCATATGAATGGCCTGTCCTTTTGCCTAAAACAAACTGCAGAGAGCCCCAGAGTTTCCAAAAGAAGGTACACCACCTGGCAGCAGCAGAGGCCGATCTTGCACCTCCTTGGAGATCCAAGAGCCAAGGTACCCAATGATCAGAGTGAGACCATACCGGATTACAACTCTTCACATCCATGAGACACACTCAAGGGGCAGACTCACTGAGCACCAAATCCAACTGAAGCAAGTCCTGCCCCATAAGGGTGTCTCCTGCACAACAGATCTTTCATTGTAGATACAGCTGGTCCTCACAGCCAGTTGGCCTGGAGGTCAATTCCTCCCAGTGATATCAGCAGCAATCAAGGCTTAACTACAACAAGACTGTGCACACAGCCCACAAAGGGGTGCACCAAGTGTTCACCTTCGGTGACTGGGGAGGCTGAGCCACCGGGCCCTTTAGGACACCAACTACACAACACCACTCAATCAACTCAAGGAGACTTAGTAGCTACTCAGTACATAGAAACTAACACAGGGAAGCAGCCAAACTGTGAAGACAAATGAAAGAAATGGATGAAAGCAAAATACTGGATATAGAGTTCAAAACCCTGGTTATAAGGTTACTCAAAAATCTAGAAACCTCTGAGAAATTTAGTGAGACCCTCAAGGATATGAAAAAAGACCAATCAGAAATTAAGCATACACTGACTGAAATAAAGAATAATATACAGAGATCCAATAGCAGTCTAGAGGATTCCCAAGAATCAAGCCAAAGATTTGAAATACAAAGAAGCAAAAAACACCCAACTGGAAGAGCAAAAAGAAAAAAGAATTAAAAAATACGAAGATAGTGGAAGGAGCCTCTGAGACAACTTTAAGTGTGCCAACATCCGAATTATGAGGGTGTCAGAAGAAGAGAGAGAATAAGATATTAAAAACATATTTGAAGAAATAATGACAGGAAGCTGAATACTCTATGGAGGGACTGCCACGTTCTGAACATGTTCTAAAGTTAACCATTCTAAATACTCATTCCTGTCCCCTCTCCCGAAAAGATGGCTTGTTTTTGGTTTCAATGCTCTTTATTAGAACCTTTTGGCAAATGCACACTTCAGATTCCAGGTGTCAGCAAAGATCAAAATGGAGCCAGATTCATCAGGTGCCTTTTCAGGGTGTGTGTTTGCAAGGAAGGACCTCTCTTCCCTGGGGACTCTCAGCCCTGCCTCTCAGTGCAAACGTCCTGGACAGGACAGAAGCTGTGGCTGCTTTGGGCTCAGGCCTGTGCACCTCGGGCGCTAGGGGGCGCTGTCTGCGAAGTGTCTGCAGCTGAGCTGGGCGCCAGGTGGGTGGGGCTACGCTCCGGATGTTCCTTTCCCTTCAGCTGCACCGGGATCGCCTCTCCCTCGCTCCGTCCTCCTCTGAGGGGCTGCGGTCTGTGAGGCGGTGGGGCCGCGGGGGCCGCGGCCGGGAACAGACATGGTGAGTGGCGGCCGGCGCGGGGGCGGCAGGAGGGCGGGAGCCGCCGGGGCCGTCTGTCCGCGGGCAGGTCCGGGCTGCGGACCCAGGCGCCCGGGCTCCGCGGAGGCTGCAGGCCCCTCGGGCTCGCAGGGGCCCCGCCGGGACCCGGGCCCAGGGGGTCCCCGCGGCGGGGCCGGGGCTGCGGAGCGAGTCCGGGCGGCTCCGCGCCCGCAGCCCGGGCTCCGCAGTGGGTGCGGGGCCGCGTGGAGGGCCCGTGGGGACACGGGGCTCGGCCTCCGCGGCCCGTGCCCGGGGGCAGCTGTGGGCTGTGGCCTGTCCCTCCTCCCCCCGGAGGGACCGTGTTCTCCCGGGTGTGATGTGTGTGGAGCAGGCTCTCCAGCCCCCGTCCCCCAGGCCCTGCTCTGCAGCCAATGCCGCATCCCAGCCTCTCCCCGGACCCTGAACCCGCGTTCCCTCCTCTGAGTCACAGCATCGTTATCAGCGGTTTGTGTTGTGGTGATTTTCAAACGGTTACAAACAAGATTAAGCTGAGTAAGTGGAAGGTCGCATCTCATCTGGCAAATAGGATCTCAGAGGAGCTGTTCAAACTGGAAGGCGTGTACAATAGGCAGAAAGGAGGCGTCATTAGAGGTTAAAGCAGGCCCTGACCGGCTGGTTTTTTGAGTGGATTAGAGCGTTGGCCTGCGGACTGTAAAGGTCCCGGGTTCATCCTGGTCAAGGGCATGTACCTTGGTTGCGGGCACATCCCCAGTGGGAGGTGTGTAGAGGCAGCTGATCGATGTTTCTGACTTTATTCCTCTCCCTTCCTCTCTAAAAAATTAATTAAAAAAATTTTTTTTTCTTTTTAAAAAGAGGTTAAAGTAGTGTTTCAGGCTGGGTCCCATTTTTTTAGGCGAAGGAACAGCAGGAGGTATTTAAAGGGATTAGTGTTGAACAGCAGGTTGTAGAGTGATTGGTTTAATGTTTTACTCCTGGGAGAGGTTGAAACTGCAGTTACATTCAGGCATGCACCCCTGAACCTGGGGAGCCCATCTTGGCCTGGAGGTCAGTTCCTCCCAGTGAGACCAGCAGCAATCAAGGCGTAACTACAACAAGCCTGTGCACACAGCCCACAAAGGGGTGTTTTTGCTTCCTTATAGTTCAAATCTTTGACTTGATTATTGTGATCTGCTAGTCTACTGTTGAATCTTTGTATATTATTTTCTTTAAATATATGTTTTATTGATTTTTTTACAGAGAGGAAGGGTTAGAGAGTTCGAAACATTGATGAGAGAGAAATATCGATCAGCTGCCTCCTGCACACCTCCCACTGGGGATGTGCCCACAACCAAGGTACATGCCCTTGACCAGGATCGAACCTGGGACCTTTCAGTCCACAGGCTGAGCAAACCCATTAGGGCTGTATATTATTCTTTATTTCAATCAGTGAATGCTCAATTTCTGACTGGTCCCCTCCCTCCCTCCCTTCCTTCCTTCCTTCCTTCCTTCCTTCCTTCCTTCCTTCCTTCCTTCCTTCCTTCCTTAGGGCTGTATATTATTCTTTATTTCAATCAGTGAATGCTCAATTTCTGACTGGTCCCCTCCCTCCCTCCCTCCCTCCCTCCCTCCCTCCCTTCCTTCCTTCCTTCCTTTCTTCCTTCCTTCCTTCCTTCCTTCCTTTGCTCCTAAGAGGTTTTTAGAAGATTCTTGAGAAAACTTATAACTATGGTTTTGAATTCTATATCCAGTAGTATGCTTGCTTCCATTTCTTTCATTTGTGGCATTTTTCTTTGTCTTTGCGTTTTGGCTGCTTCCTTGTGTTAGTTTTTTGTACTGGGTAGCTGCTAAGTTTCCTTGAGTTGATCGAGTGGCCTTGTGTAGTTGGTGTCCTAAAGGGCCTAGTGGCTCAGCCTCCCCAGTCATCTGAGGTGGACACTCTTGGTGCACCCCCTTGTGGGCTGTGTGCACAGTCTTGCTGTAGTTAAGCCTTGATTGCTGCTGGTATCACTGGGAGGAATTGACCTCCAGGCCAGTTGGCTGTGAGGTCCAGCTGTGTCTACAGGGGAAGAGCTGCCGTGCTGGAGACATCCTCATGGGGCAGGACTTGGTGCTCACTGAGTCTGCCCGTGGAGTGTGTCTCTTACGGATGTGAAGAGTTGTAATCTATTATAGTATGCTCTCACACTGACCACTGGCTCTCGGGTCTTTAAGGAGGTGCAAATTCAGCCAGCCATGGTTTTGAACTCTGTATCCAGTAGTTTGCTTTCTTCTATTTCTTTCATTTGTGACATTTCTTTGTCTTCCCATTTTGTCTGCTTGCTTCTTTTTGTTTTATTCTATATACTAGGTCAGTGGTCAGCGGTCAGCAAACTCATTAGTCAACAGAGCCAAATATCAACAGTACAACGATTGAAATTTCTTTTGAGAGCCAATTTTTTTTAAAAATATATTTTATTGATTTTTTACAGAGAGGAGGAGAGAGGGATAGAGAGCTAGAAACGTCGATGAGAGAGAAACATCGACCAGCTGCCTCTTGCACACCCCCTACTGGGGATGTGCCCGCAACCAATGTACATGCCCTTGACCGGAATTGGACCCGGGACCTTTCAGTCCGCAGACCGACGCTCTACCACTGCCTCAAACCGGTTTCGGCGAGAGCCAAATTTTTTAAACTTAAACTATATAGGTTAGGCACATTGTTAGGAAATTAATTAGGGTTCTCCTAAGCTGGCCTTTGTGAAAAACTCAAACTGCAGCTCATAAGCATGTGGCTTATGAGCTGCAGTTTGCAGACCACTGCACTAGGCGAAGGGGATTTATCAGGGCGGAGCAAACAGTGTGCTCCAGACTGAGGGAGACTCAGAAATGGCTGCCAGTCAGGCCTGCCACAGGGAAGGTCCCAGCACAGAAACAGTGATCCCTGCCAGCACCCCCCAGTTGGGAGAGAGCCGCCTCCAAGTTCCTGCCCTGATGTCAGACAATCCAGTTCTTCCTCATGTGTGTCTAAGTCCCCCAGCACTGGACTCAGAAGTAGGACTGTGTAAGTTTGTGCATGGGCCCTTTAAGAGGAACACCTGGGATTCCAGCAACCTCCATGTCACTCAGCCACAGTCCCCGCTGGTTTTTACAGCCTGTAGTTGTGGGGATTTCTTTTCCCAGCTCTGGAGCCCTGGGCTGAGGGTCTGGAGTGGGGCTGGGACCCCTTGCTCCTCACATGTGGCCTCTGCAGACATGATCTCCCTCCTGATTAAAACTGGCACGTGTAGCCGGGACCGGTTTGGTTCGATGGATAGAGCGTCGGCTTGGGGACTGAAGAGTCCCGGTTCGATTCCGGTCAAGGATGACTCTCTCTCATTGATGTTTCTAACTCTCTATCTCTCTCCCTTCCTCTCTGTATAAAATCAATAAAATATATTAAAAAAAAAAAAAAAAAAAAAACTGGCACGTGTGGGTGTCGGATCAGCTCATCCCGCGCCTCCACCCCTCCTACTAGTCTCCATGTGCTTTCTTCTCTGGTTGTAGGACTTCCATTCAGCCAGCTTTCAGGTGGTCCTGAAGGATGGTGGTTCTGTATTTTACTTGTAATTTAATGTGGGTGTGGGAGATGGCGAGTACTGCCGTCTACCTGCCCGCCAGCTTGATTCTCCCTGTTCTCTCCATTTTAATAAAACAGACTTCGTATTTTAATTGTTAATCATTTTCCCACAGTCAATGGCTGGCAATGTTTAAAAGGTTTATTGCATGTGTATGGATATTTTACATGTGAAAACAGTAGCTGATGACCACTTGGACCTACTTTGCATAAAGTCTTAGTGCCAAATCTGGGGGGACTAGGTAGGGAGTAGAAAGATAAAAGTAAGCAATTAACATTCCCTAAATTGGCAAACATATTTTAGCCTGGCCAGCATGGCTCAGTGGTTGAGTGTCGGCCGATGAACCAGGAGGTCATGTTTCGATTCCCGGTCAGGGCATATGCCCGGGTTGCAGGCTCAGTCCCCAGTGTGGTGCATGCAGGAGGCAGCCAATCAGTGATTCTATCTCATCATTGATGCTTCTATCTCTCCCTCCCCCTTCCTTTTAAAAATCAATACAAATATATATTAAAATACAACTAAATATATATTTTTAAAAAGATGAGTTTTCTCACAGGAATTGATGTACTTAATATAGGAATATTATGTTATTTGAATTTTTTTCAAAGTGGTCTTTACTCTGACATTTGAGAGTAATGGAGACTTTAAGTGATCACAATAAAATCATATCAATAAATTCCATGTGTTTATGAGGATCTGAGTGTGGCCAATGAATAATAGTATGACAAGCAAGTCATAGAATGAATGTTGGGGACCTCATGTCCTATGTGAACTTCTTATGAAATATGTATAGATCCCCAGTGCTGTGTCTCTCATCCATATACATGTGTTGGATGTTTTAGGACTCAGTGGCCTTTGAGGATGTTAATATGGAGTTCACCACGGAGGAGTGGGCTTTCCTGGATCCCACCCAGAAGAAACTCTACACGGATGTGATGCTGGAAACCTTCTGGAACCTGGCATCAGTAGGTAGTGATGACAACTTTTTATTTATTTAGTCAATTAGCTGTGTTGCTTGCTCATCAATGCTGCTTCAGGAACTGAAACGTGGAAAGGGAGTACATTGATAATTAAACTAGGCATGCTCACAGCTCATCATGGATCTAAAATCTAACCATTTTTTATACTAGTATTTTTTAATAATTTATGATGTTTTTTTTTTCTAGCATGTAGTTTAGAAGAAAACTGTGGAGACCATGACAATGAAGATCAGTATGAACAACATGCAATGAATCTTAGGTAAGTCACACTGCCATGAGAAAGCAATGTTCCACAAGATAATCTTAATATGTGATCTAATATTTCCAGTCAAGGGCAGATTCCTGGGTTGCAGGTTCAATTCCTGGCCCCAATCAGGATATGTATGGGAGGCAACTATCAATGTCTCTCACATCGATCTTTCTCTCTTTATCTCTCTCTCTCTTCCTTCTTTCCTCTCTCTTCCTCTCTACCTTCCATTCTCTCTAAAAATAAAGGGGGAAAAAAATCCTTTGATGAGGATTAACAACAACAATAATAATAATAGATACACATGGGCTCAGTTGGTTGTAGCATCATCCAGCATACCTAGGTTGCAGGTTTGATCCCTGGTAGGGGCACATGCAGGAGGCAACCAATTGATGTTTCTTTTTTTTTTTTTTTTTCCTTTTTTTTCTTCTTGATGTTTCTTTATCACATTGATATTTCTCTCTCTCTCTCTCTTTCTCTCTCTCTCTCTCTCTCTCTCTCAAACTCAATTAACATATATTCTCAGGTAAGGATTTTTTTAAAAGTACACTTGAAACACTATTCAGAAACACCATTAATGACTATGACTATTTTCATACTCTCTATGATTGAGTTCTCCATCGAGGCTCTTAGTATATCCATGCGCAAACAACCAGAATGTGCAGAAACCCCACACTTTCCTTAAAAATGGTAAAAATGTCACTTTCATACTAGTAGTAATTATAACATCATTAATAAGCAAAGTATTAATAACATGCTTCTGATTTTTACAGCAGTCATATGGTAGAGAGTCTCTGTACAAGGAAGGATGGTAGTCAATGCAGAGAGAACTTCAGACAGATTCCAAATCCTAATGAAAGGAAGAAAACTCCCGAAATACAACCACCCACATCTAGGTTGTGTAGACAAGTCTTCATGCATTATTTATCCTTTAATAACCTTGTGAGCTCTGACACTGGACCCCAGATCTACCAGTGTGAGGAACATGAAGAGAAGCCTTATAAATGTAAGGAATGTGGGAAAGCTTTCAAGCATCTCCGATATATTAATGTACATGAGAAGAAACACAGCGGAGAAAGACCCTATGAATGTACAAAATGTGGTAAAGCCTACAGGTATTTGAGTAACTTATGTCGACATGTAAGAACTCATACTCAAGAGAAAATCTATGAGTGTAAGAAGTGTGCGAAAGCCTGGAGTTCTCTCCTCATATTTCAAAGACACATGATCAAGCACACTAGAGATGGACCTTTTAAATGTAAAGAGTGTGGGAAAGAATTCCGATGCCCAAGAAACTTCCGACATCATGAAATGATACACAACGGAGAAAGGCCCTATGGATGTAAGGACTGTGCGAAAGCCTTCAGTTCTCTCAAGTATCTTAAAAGCCATAAAAGGACTCATGATGGAAAGAAGCCTTATGAATGTAAGGAATGTGGCAAAGCTTTCCGTTATCCTACTTCCCTTAGAAATCATGAAATAGCTCACACAGGGGAGAAACCCTATGAGTGTAAGCAATGTGGGAAAGCCTTTAGTCGTCTCAGTTACTTTCAAGTTCATGAAAAAACTCACAGTGAAGAGAAACCATATGAGTGCAAACAGTGTGGCAAAGCGTTTCGTTCTCTCAAGTCCTCTCGAGTCCATGAAAGAACACACAGTGGAGAAAAGCCCTACGAATGCGTAGAATGCGGAAAAATCTTCAGTTACTCAAGCAGTTTACATAAACATCTGAAAGCACACTCGAGAGAGAAACCCTGTTGATGTAAAGAATGTGGGAGAGCCCTATTTATGTTTCAACGGTGCAGACACCTCTGATGCTCCAGATTGAGGATGGACCCTCGGAATGTCAGGAGGGTTAGAAAGCATTCCTTCCTTCCAGTGTATTATACGGAATGGAAGAACTCACGCTGAAGAGAGGACTTGTCAATATGAAGATTGTAGAAAAGCCTTGGGTTGCCCTAGTTCTTACAAAGCCACACCCAAGCATAAGTCTACGAATATAAGGAACGTGGGAGAGCCTTTCTTGGACATGTAAGAACATACATAGAGAGAGCGTATAAATATAGAGGATGTGCAGAAGCCTTCCGCTGTCCCCTTTTCTTGGAAAGGCCATGAAAAAACTCAAAAGTGGAGAGAATTCTATTGAATGTCAACAATGTAGGAAAACCTTCATTTAGCCTCATATCCCCACAATGCCATGTGAGAATGTACACTGAATAGGTATTGTATAATGCTAGAGAGGACAAACTTTTAAAAAATACATTCAGAGGAGCTTGTAAAACGCACTGGAAGGCAATCATATTGCTGTAACTAGCACATGTAAGCCAGGTGCAAATTAATTCCTATACTTCCAAAAATCCACAACGTGAAAGAAATGCTATAAGCATTTAGACATCTGTGGTCATTAACACTGACTCGTTCTTAAAGTGAATCTCTGAAGTACGGAATTCTACTTTTGCAAGTAGAGGTTATATCATTCTGTCAAAACTCTGTAAGCCAGAGTTTGTAACTTTAACAGGTTTTGTTTTGTTTGTTTGTTCTTGTTTTTTTGCCTTTTAGTCAGATAAACATTACATCCATGGGTGAATGGAAGTGGTTTACTAATATGCAAGTGGGTTTAACATTTATGTAATTTTTGTAATTGTTCTGTAAGGAAAGGAACATTGAAAAATGATACTTGGGTCTTTGTTCTTTTTCCCTACTGGCCTCCTGTGACAAGTATTGAATAAATATGCCTCATATATATATATATATATAGTCTATTTTAACAGAAAAGTGCCTTTTCATTGGCCTGAAGAGCCTTACTTCATTTTTCTGTAAATATGTTTTTTAACTTTTCCACTACAGTTGATATTCAGTATTATTTAAGTCAATAAATATTTGCGATATATTTGTACATATGCAAAGTTCATTGTAGAGCCTCATGTGAATTTTTTCCAACTATAGTCCTTCGCTTTTGACTGGGTTTGGACTATGAAGTTTGCATTAAGAAGAGAAGACCTGCCGAAAACCGGTTTGGCTCAGCGGTAGAGCGTCGGTCTGCGGACTGAAGGGTTCTGGGTTCGATTCTGGTCAAGGGCATGTATGTTGGTTGCAGGTGCATCCCCAGTAGGGGATGTGCAGGAGGCAGCTGGTCGATGTTTCTCTCTCGTTGACATTTCTAGCTCTCTATCTCCCTTCTTCTCTGTAAAAAAATCAATAAAATATATATTTAAAAAAAAAGAAGAAGAAGAAGAGAAGACCTGTGATGGGAAAATAAGATCTAGAGGCAGAGATGGCCCTTCCTGACTCTGTCAGGTCAGCGTGAGGAAGGTTGTGAACTTCATTTTCCACAATCTGGTGCCTTTATGGTTCCGTGTTAGAAATCACCAAGGCCTCAGTTCCAGGAAACTTGAATGCAAATGTGAAACAGGATTAGATTGGTTTTGAAGCCACGTGTGTAGAGGAGGTGGAGAGAAGCGTCGAGCTTTTATGTACCTTTAATTTGCGTTTGTGTTCTCAGTCTTTGCCCTACCGGCCGAGAATATCCGCAGAACCACCAGCCACTGCTTCACTTCCCTTCGTGTTCACAATTCAACACTAAAGATCCAGCATAGGTTGGCTTTTCCTGCGAGCCCATAGGTGTCCAGCAGGCAACAAACGTAGACTGTCATGGTTGGGGCTGTGTTTTGAAGAGTGCACTCTCTTTAGATTGCATTTGCTTGAGGTCTGATTTGGTAATCATCTTGTCCTGTTGGTTCTGCTGCTGACTGTGATTCAGATCCACTGTGACGGCTGCAGTGGTGCAGTGTCAGGGAGCCCCATGACAGCTGCAGTGGTGCAGCGCCAAGGAGCCCGTGACAGTCTGTTCTTGTACCACCCTCTGCAGTGAGGGCTCCGAGCCAGACCTTCCATGTGAGAATCGGCACTTCCCTCATGTCAGGCAGACGCTGGATGTATCCTGTCTGTCAGAGCTGAGTGTAATCTCTCAGTGTTTTCAGTTATCTTTGCATGTGATTAAAGTTATGTGCATTTTTTCTCTAATCAATGACTCTTCTTAAAGAAATATTAACTGTTTCCAAAGTACTTTTATGCTAAGAACTATTATGTTTTTATTTTCTGAGGATATATTTAATATTCCATTGTAATAATGTAATTTCAGATTTACATTATTAAATCTGAAAATTTCCCCATTTAACCATTATACGTTCTGACTCACAATTATCATGTATGTATAAATTCAAATTCAGACATGTTTTCCTGAAGCAAATTACATTTTTAATTTGTTTACTTAAAAATTTTTACATCTTATTTATTCATACATTTAAAAACTTCAGTAATTTTTTTTCTTCTCTTCAGTGAAAGACCAAGAAAATCACATCTGTAGTAAAAGAGACATGTAATTCAAATAATAAGAATGACCACAAACCATAAATGATTAACAGCACATTTCAAAGGATTTCTCTCTTTTTTTTTTTTAATAATATATATATATATATATATATATATATATATATATTATTGATTTCAGAGAGGAGGGGAGAGGAACAGATAGAAACATCCATGATGAGAAGAATCATTGATTGGCTGCTTCCTGCATGCCCCCCACTGGGGATGGAGCCCATTAACCCATCTATGTGCCCTCGACCAGAATTGAACTTGGGACCTTTCAGTCTGCAGACGGATTCTCTATCTGCTGAGCAAAGCCAGCTAGGGCTAAAAGGATTTCTTGTGCCCTAGCCAGCTTGGCTCAGCAGATAGAGCATCAGCCTGCAGACCAAAGGGTCCTGGGTTCGATTCCGGGCAAGGGCACATACCTCCATTTCAGGCTCCTCCCTGGCTCAGACCCTGATCAGGGCACATGCAGGAGGCAACCAATTGATGTGTTTCTCTCATATTAATATTTTCTCTGACTTTCCCTCTCCCACTCTCCCTAAAAGTCAATAGGAAAGAATAAAAAGGGTTTCTTGTGTTTTGCCTTGTGATAGATAATTTGCTATTGGGGGAAGCAAGACGTTTTTCTGCATTGGATTCTGAGGAAATGAAGTTCTGTCTCGGCTAATGATACTCATTTTCACTTAAAAGGCAGGAAGAATGACAATGTTAAATCTAAGTTGTAAGAAGTCATATGAGTGAGAAAAGGGGAATTTGGGTCTTTTTTTGTTCTTTGGAAACTGTGCTCTTTGATTAGGTATACAGACATGAGTGTCCTTGCCTTTGTCTTGATTCATCGTGGTCATGGCGTAGTTCTGTGTGATCATGGACATGTGTGACAAGATATATCTAGGGCTGGCAGGGAGTGAGAGCCAGCAACCAGCTGTCTGGAACAGCTTTTGCCTTTCTTACTATCTAAAGACTGAAATAGTTCCTCTAGTGTATTAGATACATTTCCAAAAAGTGTGTGTGTGTGTGTGTGTGTGTGTGTGTGTCTATCTAAACATGTATGCCTTAACAGGATATATGACATTTGCTCTAGCCAGTTTGGCTTTGAGGATAGAGCGTCAGCTGCTGGACCTAAAGGTCCCAGGTTCCATTCCTGTCAAGGGCATGTACCTCGGTTGCAGGCTCCTCCTGCAGGAGGCACCCAATCAATGTGTTTCTCTCACATCGTTATTTCTCTGTCTTTCCCTCTCTCTTCCACTCTCTCTAATGGAAAATAATAAAATAAAATCAATAGAAAAATATCCTCAGGTGAGGACTAGAAAAAAAACTTTTTTAAAGATATATGACACTTGTTATCTCCTTTCTGAGTCAACTGAGGTTTATGAATTAAGGAATATTGTCAAAGAACACAAACCTAGAAAGAAAAAAATGTTAGCATCTCTTTTCCAATGAAACCGTTGTTGTTGAGAGAGTATGGCTTTTTTTTTTTTTTTTAACTTAAAAAAATTGATTTTGGAAGAAAGATGGAGAAACAGCAATCTGTTGTTCCACCTATTTGTGCATACATTGGTTGCTGGTTCTGTGTGTACTGACCCAGGATTGATCCTGTAACCTTGACTGGCATATTGGGCCAACACTAACCAACTGAGCTACCTGGCCAGGTTGAAAGTATAATTATTTTTTTTTATGACCACAGATTTTATTTTTATTCTTTAAAATAATTATTTACTGTTGAGAGTATTACATATGTTTTTTTTCCCCATTGACAGAAGTTTTTTCCCCCATTAACCCCCCTCCAGCCCACCTCCACCTCCCCCCATCTCTCACAGACCCAGGACCACCCACCCTGTGTCCTTGGGCCATGCATATATGCATACAAGGTCCATGGTTGATTACCTCCCACCCCCCCACCTTCCTTCCCAGATTCTGCGCTCTGTCCCATGCTTCAGGTCTCAGGATCTACTTCATTCATTTTGTTTCTGTTACTAAGATTGCACATGTGAGATCATGTGGTACTTGTCTTTCTCTGACTGACCTATTTCACATAGCATGATATTTCCAGGTTTCAAAGGGTGAGACATTTTTTTTTTTTTTTTTTTTTTTACTGCTGCATAGTTTTCCATGGTATATATGAACCACAGCTTTTTTTATCCATTCATCTACTGATGGATACTTGGGCTGTTTTCAGATCTTATGCTTCTGTGAACATAGGGGTAACTACATTCTTTCTGATTTGTATTAAGGGTTTCATAGGATATATTCCTAGAAATGGGATCACTGGATCCAATGGCAGACCCATATTTATTTTTTAGGAAATTATATATTGTTTTCCATAATGGCTACACCAGTCTGCATTCCACTGGCAATGTACTAGGGTTCTTTTTCTCCACATCCTCACC